GGCCTCCTCAATCTGACTGTCAGTGCTTGCTCTGAGTTGTGGACACTTATCAGATCTGGAAGAATCAGAAGAAGGAACCAGAGAGCTACGCCAGGTTGCTGAGGGGAGGGTAAGGAACCAGGAGAGCCCGGAGGCAGAGGCACTTAATGCAGAGTCACAGTGGGACCTGGGTGGTCCGAGAAACTGGTTCCTGCAGGGAAGACAATGAACTGGCCCCTTAGACACCAGACAGTGTTTAAAGATAACTCCTTCATTTGTTCCTGGTCTGAACTTCAGTGCGTATGCTGACCACTGTGTGAGATCTGAAAACCCTCCCTTCAGGCTGTGCTTAAAAGTTTGCTGCTCATGAACCTTCAAGCAGAAAAACCAGATCCACCCAGTGCAAAAGTTGATTCAATTATTTAACTGGATTGTGAACTTTAGTAGGGCAGAAAGCGTGTAATCTTTGCATCCGTTGGCTCCTTGCTCATACTACCTAACTACTGTTGTTGATACTTACATAACTTGGTTTTCTAAACTTAAAAAAAAAAAACAATTTGTGTTTGTCTAACATTCATGTCAAATTTGGAACAGATACCTTGAACAGAACACTGATTTGCCAGTTGTCATTTACAGTGATGTTCAATTATTTTATTTATTTTCCATAGGAAATGCAACATTTTCTAGTAAGGCTCATACACTGAAACAGTTAATGCATGCTTGCTTTTAATTATGTAAAAATGCCTGTATCTTAACTGGTTATTTAAAAGAAAATATTGTTCAGTTGCTGAGAATTATGATTCGATTTGAATTTGCCTTATTAAGAGTTGGTTGGATAAAGTAAAAAAACATTCCAAAATAGGTGATGCTGTTAAAATATTTCAAATATTTGAAACTGTCTCAGCACATGTGGACTTGACAACATCAGTGTTAACGTTTTCTCCCCACTAGGCACCTGCATTGTTGCGTACTGGCGATACGGCTCATGGCTTGGGGCGATCAGTTGTCCGATCTGTAGACAAACGGTAATGTTTGCATCCAGAAAACATCATTTCTGCTTCATCTTGCGAATTTTTGTACTTGCTGTGCCTGACTCTTGGGAATTATTTTTATGATTTTAGCAGAACTTCATTTCTCCAAAGCTTCAATTATGTCACTCCATTATGTTTGTAAATGTCTTTAAGACACCTCAAAAAAAAAAAAGGGAATTCCCTTCAGCTATAGTGGAAAAACAACTTAAATCCTCCCCCAAATCCTCATAAATCTTTGTTGTAAAACCAGCAAAGGAATAACTGAACTAGCAAATCTGGCTGAAGCAAATATTCCCCACATGTACTTCTTCTGAAAAAAAATTGATTTTCCCTTTTAATTTATTTTTAATCTGCCCTTCTCTGGTAAGGGTCCAGATAGCTTTAAATGACGAACAGTACTTTTAAAAATGTCTCTTTTGGAGACATAACCACATTGCATTATCCAGAACGGATTAGATTCTTGTAGGTGGTACAGAAGCTACCTCAGGAGGGAGGTGTTTTGGGTTTTGTTTTTGTTTTTTGTTTTTAATTGAAGTATAGTCAGTTACAGTGTGTCAATTTCTGGTGTACAACACAATGGCCAAGTCATACACATACGTATATTCGTTTTCATATTTGTTTTTTTTAATGGAGGGACTGGGGATTGAACCCAGGACCGCGTGCATGCTAAGCATGTGCTCTACCACTGAGCTATACCCTCCCCATCTAAAGGTGTTTTAATAGAACAGCTTTTAGGGTCCCAAACAGAAGAGCGATTCATCTCAGAGGCAGGACAGGTGGCAGGATCTCACTGGAGGTAGTGCCAGGCTCAGACGGGAACACGCTCTCCACGTCTCTCCCTGCGTGCTCACACCAGCACACCAGCGGTCCTGCCACGTTTCCAGGGCGAGCCCAGGTGCCAGGCTTTCTGGACACCCCAGACAGAAGTCCTCCCTCTCAAGCATCATTGTATTGCCTGCCCCAGGGCCTTATGACAGGCTGCCGCTCAAGTCTGCCCCGACTTCTGTCTCGGGGACTGTGATCACCAGTGGCAGGGCTGTGTCTTCATTTTTCTGTATATCCAGCACTTAGCACAGTGCCTGGCCACAGGAGGTGCTCAGCTAATATTTACTGAAAGAAGGGGTTTTTATTAACAAATTTGTGAAGAGGCGGCTGTACCTGCTGTTTGTACACGCGCTGCTCTTAGCACTCCTGCGTTTCGCATTTCAAAGCATCCAAGCAGTGGAAGCTGTGGTTTTACAGCCAAGCTGAGGAAGGCTAAAAACAACAGCAAGACAACTTAAATCTATCACGACTCCTTCCCATACTCGTCTGGTTACACGGGGACCATTTCTGCGGGGGTGGTTATATTTTAAAATAGACTTGTTTTTTGAGGAGCTGTCAGCCTCAGATGACCTGAATGTGGTCCTGGGACATTTGTGTATCCCTCTTACCTCTACCAGGTAGGAAACGGGGTTCAATGTAGCATGTTATCTAAAAATACCAAGAATTACCTTCTTTTGATTATATAGTAGAGATGGTGCTTGAGAGCTGGTCCCAGCAAAAACCTCATCTCTGTATTATGGTTGGTAGCATTCGAAGATCATTCAAGTACCAGTGAGAGGATAAGGAATCGTGATTTTAATCAAAAAAGAAATCCCTAATTTTTCTCTCTCAAAGTGATAGGTATATAATTTTATGTCATTTTGCTCCTGAATGTTTTCTTTCTTAAAAATATTTTTAAAAATTTTATTTATTATTGTATTATTTGTTAATTTTTAGGGGGGGGAGGTAATTAGGTTCATTTATTTTTAGAGGAGGTACTGGGGATCAAACCCAGGACCTTGTGTGCGCTAAGCATGTGCTCTGCCACTTGAGCTATACCCTCTCCACTCTGAATGTTTTCTCATCTTTCTTGTATCTTCAAATATCTGTTGGCCCAGAGAACTAGTGACATAAAGCCCCTGATGTGGACTGGAAAATATCTAAGACAGTGTTTGGATAAGGTGCCCATTTTATTTTATAGGAGTTTCAATTACATGTGAATTGGATTTTATTGTAAAGCAATAAGTTACTTTCCACCCCGGTGTTGCTCTTGTTACGAGAAATACGTAAAGCATAAATTCAGAAGCTTTTCTCATTCTCCTGAGGAAGAACACAAAATGAAAAAAATTAGTGCTGCAGAAAGATGTAACAATTTTTTTCCTGTAATGCACAGGTAACTTTACTGCTGACAGTATTTAGTGAAAACGACCAGTCTCAAGATGTTGTATCATTGCACCAAGACATTAATGATTATAACCGGAGATTCTCAGGCCAGCCCAGATCTGTAAGTAATGTCACCGCGGGTGCAAAGTGAGGGTGTAATGAGCTTCTCTTTTGTCGGGTGAGGTTTACCTGCAAATACTCTTTGGCTGTGAAAAACCTACGTGTGTGTTGGGTAAAGGTTTTGCCTTCATCATTGTTGTCATTCACTGAGTTACAGCTTTCCAAAAAACTACGGTTTCCAATCAGAAACAAAAGGCATTATAACTCTTTATGAAAGTGATACCAGCAAAAAAGCAATAAGAAAAAATTGAAGGAAAATGTAAAATTATCAGCTCCTGTGGGATTCTAAAACAGGATTTGTCTTAGGAGAAATTTACAACTGAGAGAGTTTTACAGCTGTGCTTTTTCCCCTGTTGTGTTTACCCTGACCCCTGTTGGAAATGTTCCCTTAAGTAATCCTAGGTTCGGGTTTCTCTTGTGTTGTCAGCTATTCAGAAGCATTCTATTTTTAGATGTGATCTTTTTATTTTGGGGGGTTTTTTTTGAGAGGGGAGGTAATTAGGTTATTTATTTATGTATATATTTTAATGGAGGTACTAGGGATTGAACCCAGGACCTTATGCATGCTAAGCACACACTCTACCACTGAGCCATGTATGCTCTACCCTCTCCAGGACACCAGGACATTGAGCTCTTAATTTGATATTCTTCCTCAAAAGTGGAGTTAGATTGTGATTAGTATACAAACATTTCTTAATAACCCATTTCATATTTCTTACCTAATTATTACAGGTTTTGTATAAATGATACCATATGAGAACTGAACAAAACAGCTCTGACAAAGGACAGAAAGGCATTCAAAAGACACACTGGCTGGTCTTTAGAATATTTAAGTTACCACAGACCTTGTGAAAGCAGTGTGGCTGTTTCGCTTTAAATGTTAGTTTCTTCCACAGAGAATAGAAAATTAGCCTAGGAAGTGATTGTAAAAAGACCATTTTTGTTCTTTTGTGAGCAGTTTTCCAAAAGGAGTTACAAGATTTTGTTTAATCCGGTGGGGTTTTTAAAACTGTTTCCTCATCACTTACTCAGTTCTTCCTACTTTTGTCTCCATTTCCCTCTCAACTTATTTGGCACCTGTTAGACAAACAAAATACGCACCTAGAGTTGGACTTAA